GAAACTGATCGAATCTAGCTTTGTTAGTGCAGTTTACGACCGGCCCAAATCACCATCAGTTAGACATCATTTAACATTATATTTCAGCATTACCAGGATAATGTCAAAGTATTTTCATGGTGGCCACATATAATCAAATTACAATACATAATTCATGAACGAATAAGTAGTTCTGCACATAATAGCTTAAGGAATTATACTAATCAGCACTACGAATCTCCATGTAATCCCCTACACATTACCATGCCTTATTGCATCATAAAACCATAATGATGCTCAACTATGCAATATATTATATATATATATGGTGCTCATTTCAAAATCGAGCAGTATTGCATTCCATAAAAAAATTGTATTAGAGTGATTTTCACCCTTATTTGTTCGGGGTATTCAAGGCTAGAGGGTAGAGCTGCTTATAATAAAGTGAAGAGATCGGAAGTCACCTCAGCATCTTATAGTTCCTATTTTTACCAGAAAACGTGCATAGGTAAAATGTAATGCTGATTCGACACGTATTAATTTTTCTCACAACCTGAACATGTTGTGAAGTTTCAGCACATTGAACCTAGTGCATTACAAAGCACATACAAATTTCAAGATTACTCACACTTCTTTCAATTTACATTTGCTGGACCTTGTCAAGGAAGTAATGTCTGACCTATAACTCAAAAACACTGTAGCAATGATACCGAGAGGCCTGTTTGCCAGCAAAAAAGTGCCAATAGGAGTTAGGCGTAGAAAAATCGATGGCATATATCGTATATGAAAGCTTTTGTGGAACTAAGGTATCCAAAATTTTGAGATCAAAGTAGTAAAAATCAGATTTATGCTTATTATGCTTCTTATATTTTGGCAAGTATTATAAAATTGGAAGCTTGGAGGAAAGAAGGAAAAAATAGCATGATTATTCCAAATAAGCCCTTGTTCATGATTTTCTATTTCAGAGAACAAGTAAAAGAACCGGCTATTCCAGCATAAATAACAATGACCCGAGGAGCAGAAGTAGAACCAATATAGGAAATCTTAATTTAAAGTATACTTTATATTCCAATGAACTTACTGAAATTCCTAACATAACTTTGGAAGAAAGTTCCGAAGCACAAACCCAAGACAAAATTTACGCCAAAATACACGAAGGAAATAAAAGTTTTGGGCGAAAAATGAATATAAAAAATAATGTAGGTTGTGATCTCTCTGATTTTTGTCTCTATAAAAATAAAATTAACACTGAAATAAAATTGTCAACAGTATATAACGGATCATTCTGGCAAAAATCGCGGAGTTATTAATAAACGGGATCATAGTGAGAAATATATGGATAAAGACGAATCTGAGGAAGAAGAAACTGATGAAGAGAGCGTCAGTAACGAGAGCACTAATGTTGAGGATGAGAAGCGAAAGCAAGACAGAGAGGAAAATAACGAAGAACATGGACAAGAAGAGATTGATGAGGAGAGCGAGGAAAATGTGGAGTCCAAGGAGGAACAGGAAAACAGAAAAAAATCGATCGCTAAAGAATCAGGTGACTACAAAAATAAGTTTATGTCGCATGGCAATACGAAAGCTATTGGTCCGAACTCCAAGGTCTATGACTGTGAGTTTAAATATGTTTGACTTTGTTTTCGCAACTCGGTCATATTGGTAGGAAGACTTACAGGAACGCACCTAGTCCGGAGTCCATTGTATGCATCACTATTTCCAGAGTAGAACCGTGGATGTGGTACATTCTCAGACGCTTAGCCGGCATCATAGTCGGCATCGTCAGTGACTCTTGCCATTCTTAGCACCACAGTACAACTTGTCAAAGAGACAAGTGAAACTGATCCTTTGATCAACTGTGTGTTAAACAGTAGTGGTATCTCTCCTGTCCTTGGCTATTCACCTTTCCTATAACCTCGTATTACAATTTTTCCTTGTTTATTTAAATGTTGTGTGGTATGCCCTTATAAGCGGCTTTCATGAGAACCCCCCCCACCACGCTGGAATTCTCATCCACCCTCACCCTTGTGCTGAAAATGTTGATTAGAGTATACTCTATTGTTATGAAGTTATCCTTCCATACGTCTTATCATATTCTCCCTCTTGCCCTGTAGGATCCGTCTGCTATCGCCCTGGTCCAAGTATTTTACTTGACCCCTGGCGCCCCATCGGCGTTCCATGAGGCGTTATTTCCTAAACTCTGCTTCTGCTAGACTAACTTGAGGCTAAAGACCCCAAGTAATTCTCATTGTCTAACCTTTGCTTCATGGAGTACGTCTATAGTAAAACAGGCCTACTGTCAGCCAACTAGTTCCCGTCTCCGCCGTGTCTATCATGTTTCTATACGCAATACCAAGTCTATCACTTCCTATGTCATAGTCTCTTATGTGCCAACCCACAAATGTTGGGCTTCAACATTGAACCTAATCAAAGCAAGCAGTACCACAACATTTGTTGGTTAGCACACAAGAGACTAGGGCATAGGAAGTGAGAGACTTGTTATTAGGGATAGAGACAGGATAGACGCGGCGGTGACAAGTGCTAGTTGGCTGAAAGTAGACCTGTTTTACCATATACGTGGTTTATGTAGCAAGGACTTGACCATGAGACTTACTCAGAGGCTTTAGCCTCGAATTAGTCTAGTAGACGCAGAGTGTAGGAAATAACACCTCGAGAAGGCGTGATACGAGAATATAGGAAAGTTGAATAGACCAGGACAGAAGGAAAGATACCACAAGTGTTTAGCACGCATTTGGTCAAAGAATCGGCTTCACTTGTCTGCTTAATGCAGTGGTTCCCAAACTTTTCCTAGTCGCGGCTCCCTTTTTCAATTAAAATTTTTCTATGGCGCTCTACCCTAAGTATGACTATTCGTAAGTAAGAGATAAAAATGAATAAAATTAGTGTTTCTTCTTTTTTTTACTTTTTTGACATCAAATTAATATTTAATAATTAATGTAATGGATGAGCCTGTAAATCACTGCACATTTTCTCAAAATAAAGCTTTTACAATATTTCGCCGCGCCCCTGTAAAGAGGCCGCGGCGAACAGTTTGAGAATCACTGCTTTAATGAGTTTTAGTGTGGTGCTAAGAATGGCAAGACTCTTTGACGATGCCGGCGAAACGTCTTGGAATGTACCACGTCCACGGTCTGACATTGAGTTATGCCTGAATTTTAAACTCCTATTTTGGGCAAAAGTAATAAAAATATGTAAAATAGCATAGATATATTCATCCTAGTTTTTATATCTTAGGAGAATTTACTTTTTAGATACAAGATTTAACTGTTACTGCTTAGCGAAATCTTGCTTTATATTCCAGTCATCTCCGTCATATTCATTATAACATTCACGAATCCTATCGTATAATCTTTTCTTTTTTTCTTCACTAGATTACCGGAAGAAATTGCTCAGTGACTTGAGTCGCATTGGCCAAATCCATGAACCTAGCGAGTTTGATGTAAAAAATTTGTTACTAGGCCGCCATGGGTGTAATCATATGCTCACATCCTTAACCGCATCAGAAGGAAGGGCCATTTACATAAAATTAGAAAAATCGACTAAACTAAGCCTAAACAAGCTTCTTGCAGAATGTAAAGCAAACTAACATCTTTTACATATCATAAAATAGTCCGTAGATAAAATCGAAATCTTCTTTTGTCTAGTCAACATCAAACATTTTCATTTATCATATAATTTTCTTGTAACACTGAGCTCTAAAAAAACATTGTTTTAATTTTAGCTTTTTTGCTTGGGTCTCCATAAAATAAAGCTTTTATTAGTATTAGATAACTTGGGTCAGACTAGTAACCTGTCTTTGGCAATACATGAGCCTATCCAGCAGAATGCTGCACGTATTGTCCAAATATCTACCGATAGAGATGAATAAAAATAAGTAATATATTTTACAGAGGTTGTTTGACCTCGATTTCGCAACTTGGTTATATTGTTAAGAAAAATTAGAAGAACGCACCCAGTCCGGAGTCCATTGTATGCATCATCATTTCCAAAGTCGGACCATGGACGTAGTACATTCCCAGACGTTTCGCCAGCATAGTAGTTGGCATCGTCAGTGAGTTTTGCCATTCTTATCACCAGACTACAATGGTCAGAGACAAGTGAAGCCGTTCCTTTGATCAAACGTGTGCTAAACAGTTGTGTTATCTCTCCTTCTCCCCGGCAGTCTCCCTGTCAACCAACTAGCTCCAGTCTCCAACGCGTCTATCTTGTTTCTATCCCTAATACCAAGTCTATGACTTCCTATGATCCAATCTCTTGTGTGCCAACCCACAAACATAGTGGTTCAACATTGAACCTAATAAAAGCTAGCAGTACCACAGAATTAGGTTTTACCAGAGACTTGGTCCATGTAGCAAAAGCGTAACCATGAGACTTACTCAGAGGCTTTAGCCTCGAATTAGTCACCCAGACGCAGGGAAGGGCGAATAATGCCTCGAGTAGTACAGATGGGTGGCAAAGGTCGAGTGAAATGCGTGAACCGGTGCGATAGCAGATGGATTTTACGGAGCAAGAGGGAGACTCTGATAAGACCTGGTGAAGAAGGACGGCGTAACAGCATGGCAGATTCTGACCAACGATTCCAGCACAAGTGTGAAGGGGGGTGAGAACGCCAACATGGAGTGTGGAGGGTTTTTATGAATTCCGCTCAAAGAAGCACACCATACCACATCGAAATAAGCACGGTAAACATTGTGACAGTGAAAGCGTGATACTAGGATATAGGACAGGAAAATAGGCCATGACAGATGGGGAGATACCACAACTGTTTAGCACACATTTGGTCAAAGGATCGGCTTTACTTGTCTCTTTGACGAGTTTTCGTGTGGTGCTAAGAGTGGCGAGACTCACTGACGATGCTGGCGAACCGTCTCGTAATTTACCACATCCACAGTCCGACTTTGGAAATGATGATGCATATAATGGACTTCGGAGAAGGTGCGTTCCTCTAAGTCTTCCTACCAATATGAACAAGTTGCGAAAACAAGGTCAAACAAGCTCTATACAACGAAAGGGGACTGCGACCACAAGAAAGGCCACGCCATCTTGGTCTACATATCTTCTAAAATATTTGACAGTTTAATGACTGAATTACTTTATTAGGGGGACCTTCATTTCGAATGAAAGTGCATGTAGAAGAGATTCGTTTGTTGATCTCACCAGATGAGGACGGGTGAAAATCATTGTACTTTAGACCTTATTTTTATCCTCTCATACCAAATTGGAGACCTTATTATTAAGAGCCACGATTAAGTCTTGACTGTTTTTGATAGAAGATACGGGCAAATTCTTTTTAGACATGCGAAGAAAAGTTGGGTTTCGAGGAATCTCTTGTTTCATAATTGTTTGGCTTATTTCCATTTCGAGTGAAAATTGTTGGGTGAATAGATTCGAAGGTCGGTTCCACCAGAAAATAAAGGCGGATTCCTCTTGACCAGCTGTCGATTGGCTTTACTGGAACATTCATGCTGACGCTGCTTCCGAGGTAATCTC